TCTCTCTCTCTCTCTCTCTCTCTCTCTCTCTCTCTCTCTCTCTCTCTCTCGCTTCATTCCTTACAAATATTACATGTAGGCTTGGTGTAACTGCTTAGGGCTGAGTGTAACTCTTTTTATATCCTTTTCATGTATTTTCTCATTCTAGAACCAGGGTCATGGAGTTGCTCCTTGTCATCTGAATGAAGTGCTAGGGTTGTGCTTGTGAATAAATGCTACACTTTCTTCACTCTGATTCTATTGGCTAGTAAACCAAGAGAATAACATGTGACAAACTTGTGAATGAAAAGAAAAATATATGTCAACTGTTTCAGAGACTAATATTTTTCACTGAGTAGGATAAAGGACTTAAAAACAATTGTATAATGCATCTTCAATTACTGAGTTATTTAGTCATGAGATTTCGTGGGCAGTGACATTCAAATGGAACACAAGATGGATGTGTAGATGCATGCTTGTAATCCCAGCACTTGGGAGACTGACACAGGAGAATCTTTGTGGGTTTAAGACCAGATTGGGCTACAAAATGAGCTCAAGGCCATCCTGCACTGCATAGCAAGACCCTGACTCAAAAAGACAAAAAAAAAACATAAAATATGACATAAATATATTATGTGGCATAAAAGAACTATTGGAGTTCAAAAACAAAACATGGCATCTATTTATATTTACCTCTGGTTTCGTTTTTGCTTCTATCATCTGGAGTTAGTATTAGCTGCATGTCATGTGTGGCTCAGACCTGTCATGAGAAAACATGATAAGTTTCTGAGAAGTTACTCGTGCATTTTACTTATCTATGTACTCTCTGACTGCCATATCAGGAGCAGTTTTCTTTGTTAGAAATAATACGTTTGCCCTTTGCCTCAATTTCTAGGATGTCATTCTTAAATCTTAGAATTTACTAAGTCATACATTTTGTTATGTTACTGGGGTGGGCACTGAAACTTTATGCTACTGGGGTCTCCTTAGATAGTTTATGCCAACAGAATTATTCATGTGGAAGTCTTATCTTCTTAGAAAGACTAAAATGTGATTAGAGTTTTGGAGTTTTGAACCATGAAACATCAGCTCAGGCAGAGAAAATGTGATGGAGACTGAATTCAACCTAATTACCAATGATTAAATCAATAATGCCTACATCATGCATCTCAAGTCTTGGAACATCACAGCTCAGATGAGCTCAGAGTAAGTTATTCTGTGCATTTCTCCACTTTGGAGTGTTGGAAAGATTACATACATATTGAGTCAACATTGGTTTTTCAGAGGTTGTTATTTAATTTCCATGTATTTGTGGAGCTTTTACAGTTTCCAATAATAATTTCCATTTTCATTTCACTATTGTCATATAATGTGCATGGAATAATCTCAATTCCTTTGCATTCACTTCAGCTTGTTCTATGTGCTTTATATGGTCTATTTTAGACAATGTTCCCTGGGCAGCTGAGAAGAATGTGCATGCTGATGTTGTTGGTAGAACACTGTAAAGGTGAACTAAGACCATTTCTTTGAAGTTAAGTTCAGTTCTAATATTTCATTGTTGACTTTTTGTCTGGCTAATCTATCTCTGTAACAATGGGGTATTAAGCTCTCACATTTGAATTGTGTTGTTGCTTTTTTATTTTTTATGTCTATTAATATTTGTCTTATATAGTTGGGTGTTCCCATATTTCATATAAATATATTTATGATTGTTATCCTTTTGAAGTTTTCCTTTACAATGATGTAGTGACCTTCTTTGTCTATTTTGATCTCTTAGGTTTGACGTTCACATTGTCTACAAGAAAAATACCTGCCCTGTGTTTTCTGGGATCCTACTGCATCTAGTATTGTTTTCCATTCTTTGACTTTCAAACTAAAAGTTTCTTTTTGCGTTAAATGTATTTCTTGTGCATGCATATTGTTGGATCTTGTTTCTTGATCCATTCTGCCCACCACATCTAAAAATTTTTAAAATATGCCAAAAGACCCACCCCACAAAATAATCCAAAAGTACAAATGAAAGAAAGGAGCCAAACATGAAAATTTCAGATAGAAAGTCATATTTCCATGATACAAATTCCAAAAAATGAGAAAAATTTTGGAAGAAGAGGCACAGTTTACATGAAATTGAGTAGCTTCTAGGAAGACTATTTGAAACAAAAGTAACTAACAAGAAGCACAGAAAGGGAAAAAAAGATAAGGAGTATATGTGTGAACTTATTTCAAAACATGTGATAAAAATACTATAATTAAAATAGGTAAAAGGTCCTGAGTTCAATCCCCAATACCACAAAAATAAATAAATAAGTAAAATAGGTAAAACTATCAGGATCCTGTCTCAAAATAAACACTTAAAAAGAACTGGGCAATTGTTCAATGCCAAGGCCCTGTGTTCAATCTCAAAGGCTCTAAACAATGAAGAAGAGTGATTAAAATTTTGTGAGAAAAGCTGCTTATTTGCATTTTCCAAGATATTCACCTCCTGTGAGATCCAAATATAAACTATGGATGAGGTATTAGAAACTGTTAGAAACGTTCAATAAGCTATATGTGGAATAAGAGGACAGTCCTTAGCTTAACAAACACCAAGAATTCCTACAAAAAAACCTGACAAATTTGGCCATATAAGAAGCAAAGGCATTGTTTAAACAAATAATATAAAGTCAAAAAACAAAAATACTTTGAGACAAGATATTTAAATGGGAAAAAAATCCAGGTACATTGACATATCCCACAAATCCAACTAAAAGGTAGTTCAAGATAAGTACAGAGACTTAATTATTGTATAAAACAATCAAGTTCCTTGTAATAAGAGTTTCTTTTGTCACAAAATATATTGAGTAAATATTGTTACATAGTGTGTTAACAAAGTAAACAGAGAGATATTCATTTTCCAAGACCTTTACTGGGTATGTAAATTAAGCAGAAGATAGTTTAGCAAAAATCTATCAAAAGTCAAGATCAACACCTTTAATCATGACAATTCCTTTTCTAAATTGTTCCATTATGATACATTATCAGTATTAGATGTTCAGTGATTTACTTAGTATCATAAATTTGAGATATTGACATGCTTGGTGAGGTAACTTAGTGGTAGATAGCTTCCCTAGCATGTACGAAGCCCTGGAGTCAATCTTCACCACCCCCAAAATTTAAAAAACATAATTAGGGGAATAATGATACTAACAATGAGGATACTACAAATGGTTAAATAAATTCTAGCATATCTATACCGACATGATACTGAGTTACTGATATGATACTAAGAACATAAGCCACACATAAAAAACATTAAGTATATGCAAAAATATGTTTATTTGGAGATATGAAATGGAAGGAAGCAGGGGTAAAGGTGGGAGAATTAAAAAATAACCAGAGTGTGATTGATTGTGTCAACTTCAGTACATAATGCCCTACTGGATGGCTTGGCATAGTTCTGGGTGTGGAAGACCCACTCTAGGGAGGATTGTCACCAGAATGCTATAAAAGGGAGATAAAGAAGCATCTCTTCTGTCTTCTTTCAAGTAGCTCTAATCTTTGCTTTCACCTTGGATGCCATCTCCTGGCTTCTGGAGAAGAGCCTTCAGCATCCTGATTTGGACTTGCATGGAACACTATATGGAGCTCCAGGCCTTCAACTGAGTCCTTCAGATCCACTGTTGGCAATGGATCTTCTGCACACTTCCACACCTTATTCTGTGGGTGGTTGCTATAAGCCAATTTATAAATTATTTTTTTATATATTTTGAATTATATGTTTCTCTAGAAAACACTGCCTGATACATATATTAATTTTGATGCAATTATTCATTTTTCTGTAATATGTTACTTCTGTTTCATTTTTTCTTCTTCCTTTTTGTTTATTAAGTGTTTATCATGTGCCAAACAGTATTGGGAGAGAAAGGAAGAAAAGCAATGTGATTTTTACTCTCAAAATGTAAGGACTCATAGAGAGGCAAGTAAATAAAAATTTGCAATGCAGTTGGTCAAACAAAATAACAAACTATGTGCTATGTATTTGCAGTAGAAAGAAGACAGAAGAGACAAATTCTGCTTCACTTCATCAAGAAAGGTTCTATGGCTCTTTTTGTGTTCTTACTCTTTGCCTCCACTATGAAAGGTTGTTCTCTGTCTTGTGCCAGGCTGCCTTGGAGCCAGCTGAGTATGGACTGAAACCTCCAGTATCTGTGAGCTAAATAAACCTTTCCTTCCTTCAGTTTGGGTGTTGGGTATTTGTCCCAGCAACGAGAGAAGAGTAACCTAAGATAGAATTAGGTACTGCAGGAGTAGGGTCATTGCTGTGGCTAAACCTGACCATGTGGATTAC